TTTTCTTAAAATCGATGGCCAGCACATTACTGTAAAACCTATTGATTAAAAACACAAAGTATAATGTTAGTCATTTAGTCTGTGAAGTGATGCAATAAGGGAAGAAATTTATTCTCTGGCTCTTGCATTAACCTTTTATTGACTACTTGCATACCCATAATTAACACACACTTTAGCTAAAGTGGTTAATTTCAGCATGGCGACCAGTGTTCACTAATGTAGCTGGCGGTCCTCATCCTCCAAATGTAAGTGTAGCCCTGGGGGAATCAGCAGGCAGTGGGGCCCTGCGTGAGTTACACCTGGGAGAGGAGAGGAGGGGAACCTCTGGACAGTCGGCTGACAGGCCAGCCGACGTGACACCTTTCAGCTGCTTCCTGTTACATTACTAGGTCATTCAGAGAGAACCACTCCCAAGCAGCAAGAGTTTTGAGGGTAGCTACAGAGTCCTTTGAATTGAAATAATGTGAATTTGGGAGGGAGAGAGATGAAGCATATATTATTTTCCATAGCTCCCCTTGCAATGCCGCATAAAAGGAACAGGGTTTTCTGAGTATATCTGAGTTTATTTGTTAGCCCTTTAGGATGGGAGTAGAGAGCACAAGGTTGAAAGGGGAAACTGTAACTTCCTTACTGTTTAGCTGAGTTTCTTACTGTTTGTCTGGGCTCAGAATGATCTGCTATCCTTGATAAAGAAATTTTTAGGGAAAATTTTTTAACTTTCTTTAGAAAGGTCATCCAGCTCTGGTCATTAAAACTGGCTTATTTTTATTTTATTTTATTTATTTATTTTTTTTGCGGTACACGGGCCTCTCACCGTTGTGGTCTCTCCCGTTGCGGAGCACAGGCTCTGGACGCGCAGGCTCAGCGGCCATGGCTCACGGGCCCAGCCGCTCCGCGGCATGTGGGATCTTCCCGGACTGGGGCACGAACCCGTGTCCCCTGCATCGGCAGGCGGACCCTCAACCACTGCGCCACCAGGGAAGCCCTGGCTTATTTTTGCGCAAAGGCCAGTGTGGATGACACCAGCGCACTCTTGTTTTCTGGGTAGAAATTTGTCCCCAGTGGAAATATTATTGGAATCGAAAACAAAAGCCAGGGATTTCATGCTTTCACATGATCTCTGCACACACTGTACTGCATCAGCAGCATCTCAGTTTGGAGAGGACTATCAACAAGCACCTGGCAGGCAGGGCCACAGCAGTGGATGTTGTAGAAGGCAGGAGGGCACCGAGGGGTGAGACGCATGGCCGGCATATCAGCCAGGACTCTTTGGGTCGCAAGTGACAGAAAAACCGAACTCAAACAATAACAAGCTCGTGCAACTGAAAAAGTCTAGGCATACCTAGCTTCAGGTGAGACTCAATCCAGCTACTCAAACCGTATCACCCAGGACCCAGCCCCTTGCTGCATGGTAGCAAAATGACTATGGTGGTTCCAGATCACACATCCTAATAGTTCCCAGGCCAGGCGATAAGAAAGTCTTTTCCCTTAGTTCCCAGACCCGTCCTTTGATTTACTCTCTCAGTCTTGCCCTGGAGAGGGTCAAGTGCCTCCCCTAACCTCCTCCCTGTGGCTGGGAGAGTAGGATGTGCTGATTAGATCAAACAAGTCAAGGCTCTCCCCTGGCTGTAGAGGTGGAGCCAATCTCACTCAAACCATGTGGCCAAGCATAGGGATGGGACAGATTTCCCCACAGGAAACTTAGAATCTTCTTTGTGGGAAACTTGGGAAAAGACACAAGACAGCCATTGTCCACCACCGTCAGGACTCCTAAAACATTTCCTAAGAGAATTCAGGGCCCCTTGATTTGGCGAGAGCTACAGAGTATGCGTGCTGAGAAACAATCCAACTTTATTTCCGAGAAGTGCCAAGTCAACCTGAAACAACTGCCGCTCAGACAGTCCAACGACAGCACCTGTTATGAATTCTGGGTCTTCAGGAGCAACTGCTAAGTCTTTCTAAATCTGAGCATTTTAGCCTGTCACTGGAGAGTTGTAGCAGCTTGAATACATAAGCCTCAGCGTCCTGGAATGTCACATTGTGATAGGATTCAGCCACAGGCTCAATCTGCTTCAAGCCAGAAAGAGCTGCTTCTGGATCTCCAGAGCTTCCCCCAGTCCAGAGGCCACCCAGTCAGTTAGCTGAAGGGAGGGGACAGTCGCAGGTACAATAGGCAGCCCTCTTGTTGGCATCTCCCGTGGTCACTGGCACTCGTAGTAGAAGTAACGATAGCAACAATAGTATTTGATAATTATTGAGGGCTCACTGTGCGCCAGGCACTGTGCTAAGTACTTCTCATGTGTTAATCCATTTAACCTCCACAAGCCCATAAGTAGTGTACTGTATTCCCACATGACAAGTAAGAAACTGAGGCTTGGTGAGGTTAAGAAGCTTGCCCAAGATGTCATGCCCCAGGGAAGCAGCAGCTCCTGGTGCCCGGAGAACATCTTTACCACTGTGCTTCCCCATCTTAGGAAATTAAGATGGAAGAGAGGCAGAATGCGGGAATTGAGCAGGAGAAATTGAAACCCAAAGGGAGATACGCCTTCAAGTCATTCTCAAGCCTTTTCTTTTTCAGTCCCACCATCCGGCATGATGTTGAATTGGACATTGTGCTTTGAGTTGGGGGTGACTGTGCTTCCTCGCAGGTGAATGCATTACCTCAACAGCAAGCCCTCTGTGGGGTGCAGTCGTGACCATTGAGAAACTGGCGAGGAGCGCTGGGCATTAAAGGAAGAGTTTTAAAGTGATCTTGAAAGATCTGAATTAAGACCCTGAAGAGACCAAACAAGGGGTTCTAGCTCTAGTCCAGAGGGAAGCAGTGGGTACGCACAGCTCCTAGCTTCTCAGGGCCGGCATGAGAAGGAGGTAGTACCCACACCGGCTGGTCCTTCCATGGGAAGAACAGTAGAAAATCAGAGCAACTTCACCCAAAAGAAAACTGGGTGGGCTTGGGAAGCTTGTACAATACAAGTGTAAGCGAACTTCTGCAGCAGGTGTTAACATTTTTAATACTTTCTCAAAATGAGGGGGCAAAACCCACTGCCAGGTGAAAAAGCATCTCTGTTGACTTTTGACAAACCTTATGCTATTCGAGGTGGATCAACACTTATCACAGCCCTTTAATCTGCCAACCAGGGTAGTGTGTGCACAGATCGTTTACCCGCCGTGAGATGATGCTCAATTTGGAATAACTCTCCCTACCTGGTAAATTGAGCCTTACCCTCTGATTCTGAGGCAGAGAGAAAGAACAATTTAAAAAGCTTTGCAGAGTTCCTTTGTAATTAGTCGCAGCTTTCCTTGAATATTAATTTCCCCCAGCCCTTTCATGTGATTTAGAGACTGTCTCTAGAACTGCAGAGATGCACCCACTGCAGTGAGGGGCAACATCTCAAACACCTATTATTATTAAGTAGTCTGCAGACCGTGCCTCTGTTCTTCAGTTCTGTGTGGCCTTATCAGTGCAAACAGTTTAATATTTATGCTAAGAGGATTGTCAAAAGCAGCTTCTGTTGCTTTAATTCTTGTTTTAAATAAATAATGAGAACATTTAAACACATTACTCTTCTTGGGGCCCTGAGGTCAGCTAATCTTATTATTTATGAAGTGATGTGCTACATAATAGTACTTAGTGCATGTTAACAGACGCTATTATCAGGGCCCGATGCGGAGAGCTGAAGATATATTGGAATGTTATGTGTAATGTACGACGGATTGAGTGCACAGGATGCCAGGATAGCAATTAACCACCCGAGAAAATAGGTGTAAAGTTGAAGTATGTTTTCCCGTGGGGATCCCCTCACCATTAATAATTCCCCAGAGGAGAAGATGTCCTTTAGTTAGGAGCCTGCTCGACCATCAGGCTTGGAAATAGGTCCAGGATGGTCCATTCTTTGATCTCTTCATCATAGTTAGTCCTACACGGAAGACAGAGGATGGGTAGGACCCCTTTTTAATTGATTTAGAGAACAATGCCAAGAAGGTCAGGTGGGGTGGGGAAGGACCACGCAGCTCTCCCAGATGTACTCAGAGTATTTCTTTTTGGTGCATGCACTGTCACCGCCACGTGCTCCAAGAGAGTAGAGAAACTGTTCGTTTCTTATTGCAATTTGTGTTTTCTTCTGTCTGATCATCACTTTTCAGATACGTAAAGCCAAAGCCACTGAGTTTTCCCAGACCAATTTCCAGTAAGCTGTGGTCTTTCGGCAAGGTAGATGCCCGCCAGGGTGCGATGATGTTGCCCCAACTTTCTTCCTACGAGGCTATAATTTAGTTGTGTATGATAATTAATTTCTCTACTATTGATGAATAATCCATTTAATAAAAACTGTGATTTAAGTGTTTTCCTTAGGGAGTCACTCTTGCTAGCCTCTTAATTTAATTTTGTGGAAGTTTTCTCCACCTATTCATCAGTGGAAATGATTATTAACCTCTATTTGCATATATCCTTATAAATCGGTCTCTCCTTGGAGTGCCTTTTTCTGAGCACAGCAGGCTGGGACACTTGTAAATCTCTGGGATCTCCAAAGTCAATCCCGGTCTGTAATATTGTTTAATCTATTCTTGGACGTTTTAATGCAGTAAATTCAATTTAATCTTTCCCAGTAATCTAGTAATACATGGAAATCCCGCAAACATTTAAATCTGATAATGGCTTAATCACACACTTTAAATAACAGTCGAGATAATGAAAAAATAATTCACCATTTTAAAGGCAGAGTAACTGAATTTCCCCGATGATTGGCTTCTACAAAGCCATTAGAGGTAATACAGATCTGGGCACTGGAAAAAATAAAGAAGTTCCAGCACCATAAAGAACAATTCTTCCTTCTTATAAACACACCTGCCTTCTGCCGCCCAAACTCACCCTTGTGTATCATCACCACCATCATAGCGGATCGTCACTGGGGCATTTGGCAAGGTCGCCCCAAGTTGCCCATGAGTTTGGGTCTTCCAGGCATTTCCTCCCAGGGGTAAACTGCCTGTTCTTACTCTTGCAGGTGCCAGTCCCGAATTGCCCGAACTCTACCCGCGGATCAGAAGCCAGAGTGCCGGCCGTATTGGGAAAAGGATGATCCTTCGATGCCGCTGCCGTTTGACCTCACAGATATCATTTCCGAACTCAGGGGTCTGCTTCTGGAAGCCAGACCCTAGAGAAAGAGCACAAGTCTTAGGTGGAGGAGCAAAGGCTGTTTTTGACTTCTCTCCTCCAACCTTGTCATGGGCTTAGGCAAGGGGATTATGGGTAGACTGTGCCTTGGGATTGTAGACCCTGGGTCCCAGTTGGAAACAGCTAGGGAATGGAGCCCATGAATATTAAAATGTTTAAAAGTGACACAGTGTTATAGTGATTCGGTATTAAACAAGAACCTCCAACCCCCAAAGCTGTTCCCCACTTGGATTTTTAATGTGAGCCATTCCACTCCCAAGGCCTGGGAAGCGACCAAGGTGAGCCTGGCCTGTGGCAAAACCTAACCTACTTTCCTCCTTCCCAAACCTTTGCAGAGACTCTGCAGGGGATGACTCTCAGGTCATCTAGGGGAAGACCGAATTTAGAGACATTTAGCCCATTTTCTCACCACACCCTTTAGAGGCTATGCTGTTCAGTATGGTGGCCACTAGGTAGATGGGGCTTCTTAAATTTAAATTGCATTTTCATTGTAATTAAAAATTCAGTTCCTCAGTTGCACGAGCCACATTTCAAGTGCTTAGTAGCCATGTGTGGCTAGTGACTGCTGTATTGGACACAGAACATTTTCATCATTGTAGAAAGCCCTCCCAGACAGCAGCACTTCTATCAAAAGTTTGAGAGCGGGAGATTCTGTTTTCCCATTCTCTGTAGCTGCTTTCCCCACAGGCGAAATAAATTAAAAGAGGAATGCCTCATTGAAGAGTAGCCTCTTTCCCTTCTCTAGGACAGCCTGGGTTATGAGCCCTGTACTCTGCACATAAGAATGGAGCAGTGTTGAAGATTAAAATAAAGTTGACATCCTGGCTTTAGGAAGTTTCCCTGATCTAATGAAAGAGACAAAGTCCTATTTACATTGCTTCCTGATTTTAGCCAGCATACTATATGTTGTTTTATAATTCCCCCATTCGCACATAACGATGGGTAGAATTGAGGCTTGAAGAACCCTAGTGCCCATCCTGATGATGTTGGGGCACCAGAGAGACGATGAAGAGGTTAAAACTTGGGCTTTGGTTTTCGAGGGCCTGGATCTAAATGCCCAGTAGCTTGTGACTTTTGGTGTCTTACTGTGCCTTGGTTTTCTCATCTGTATAATGGGGATACTATAGGCACCAACTCATAAGGCGAAGATGAAATGAAATAACTTAGCTGCAGACTTAGAACAATTTCTGACACATATTTAAACACCCAGTAAATATTAGTATTATTATATGTCAGTAAGTGACCTGCTGTAGGCATTTTCCCCTCCCTTCTTCAATCTTGGTGCCAGTTTTGTCTTGTGGTGCCCTGAACCCACCTCTCCCTTTTGGGCCTGGCTCCCGACCTTTGGCGACCCTGGAAATCATGAGAATAGTTAGCCCCTCTCCCCAGCCTGTCACCTTCTTTGTAGTTGTTTGCAGTAGTTGGAAAGCTGAGGAGCTTTTTTGCCCCTTGAGAGGTGCGCTGAGAACCAGACTCTCTCCCGCCAGCAGAATCTCGCTGGTTCAAGGTATGGGCTCATTCACATGGAGTCAACCCCAGGGAGTTCACGTCACACAAAGCAGGCGGGGTTTCCTCATCTTGAGACTCTTGGTAGACATTGGATGAATTCCCTGATGTCTTTAAGCCTCAGTCTGCCCGTCAGTAAACGATGAAGCGCTGCCTCTCAGGGTTGTGGGAGAGATTAAATGAAATCACATAGGTAAGGAGGGCAGGGCACGCAGAAGTCGCCGGCTGGGCAGCCTCGGGACCATCTAGCCTAGTGTTTTATTTCACCACCACCCCCCCCGCCAGTGTCTGTTCCTTGTCATAGTTCACTAGGTGCCAATATTTAAAAATTGGGAGATTTCATGTAAAATAAAAATGTGTGCATCCTCTTCAGAATTCAGAACATCTGGCAGCCCTAGGCCTCCATCCTGGCATGGCAAAGAGCTAGGTAGCGTCCTCTCAGGCAGGGCGTGAACCCTCTGTGGCCCCCGTTGCTCCCAATTACCATTTATTGTGAACCTGACTGGCGTTACGCCTTCGTGTCAGCACCCTCCAAACCTGCTTGCTTGCATCCCTAGAGTAGAAATGAATAATAATGTTGAGTGCTTACCCCAATATATGTGTATTACTATCGAGCTATATTTGTGGACTGCTTGTACTAATAGGTCATGTACATCATAAAACATGCATAAACAATAAAAATACTGAAAGGATGAGATAAGAAACCAAGAGAGGCCCTGCTATTTTCTCCTTGCACACCAGCAGGTGGGCCTGCTTCCTTGGCCTGGGGGGCGCCCAGGTGGAGAGAGTCCTTGGAGTCCTGCAGGTGGGGGAAGAGCCAGGGGTTGGAGAAGCCACTTCCAGGAGTGAATCTGAAAGGTGAGATCACGTTTGCTCAGAAGAACTGGTGGCTTTCACTAAGCATGAGCTCATTGTGTTTAAGGGTTACATACACTCTCTGAGGAAGTTTCAGGTGGGTAGAAGGAGGAAGGGCAAGAGATGATTTACAAAAAAGGGGGCTTCGCTGGTGGCGCAGTGGTTGAGAGTCCGCCTGCCAATGCAGGGGACACGGGTTCATGCCCCGGTCCGGGAAGATCCCACACGCCACGGAGCGGCTGGGCCCGTGAGCCGTGGCCGCTGAGCCTGCGCGTCCAGAGCCTGTGCTCCGCAACAGGAGAGGCCACAACAGTGAGAGGCCCACGTACCGCAAAAACAAACAAAAAAAAGGGGCTGCTGGGGACGCTGACAGCTCGGTTCCTGCTCCTCCCCTGTGAACTAGTAAAGGACTTTCCCTGGGACACGGGCCATGTGTATGGTGGAGGAGAGGGAAGCTTTGCCCCTGGGACCACCTTGAGTCAGCGGTCCCCACTGCTTCCTGTAAGGCTTCCGCATCCCTCAGTCCCAGCTATCTTCAGAAAAGTAATCTGAGGAGGTAGATCCCTTTGCACTAAGATGCTACTGACTTTTCCTCCCACAAACCCTTTTTTTTTTTTTTTGCGGTACGTGGAATGTACCTGGGGACTGAGGAAGGGTGGCTTGGATTAGGAGGTCAGGGAATGAGGGTAACGGGGGAAGAGCTTCCCAGGAAAGGCAACAGCGGGGGACGAAGGCCCGAGGCTGGAAGGTGCTTAGAGCGGGATGTTCAAGGAAGAAAAAGGACCACTATGGACGAAGTAGAGAAACAGGGGAGAGTGAGGGAGATGCAGCTGGAGAGGAGGAGGACCTGCCTTTGGATTTGATGTCAAGCACCCCAAGAAACACGAGGGCTCTATGGGGGAGGGGTGGGAATAACTTGATGTGAGATTCTTTTTCTTTTAGATGATCGCTCTGGCTGCTGTCTGGATTCCAAAGGGTCTCAGTCCAAAGGCACTGCTTTCTAACTGGGAGTTTCCCGCATCCTCGGGCCAGATCTTGAGATGGGGAAGATGTCCCGCCAGACCCTCTGAGTGCATGAGGTGGTACCCCATCCTCCTTTTGCTTCCCCGCAGCTCTGCACCCACCCCACCTGCTTTCACGGGCAGCCTCAGCCCAGGGGAGTTCACTAGACAGAAGAGAGGGCGGGGTCATGGCATCGCTCGGGACACAATTTTAGTAATAAGCTTCCAAATCCGTCACTAAACGAATGGAGGGATGCTAGAAATGATATTCCATCGACCCGACTGAATGGACAGTCCACATTCAGTAGGTTTTTTGTGTGTGTTTCGAGGGAAGGTATTTTTGAATGCAACTTTTTTTTTTTCCCTGCTCTAGTTAAGGCTGATTTTACCACTGGGCAAATTGCATACATTTGGATCTCTGCCACGCTAAATACTGTTTATTTTGGACATCTGTCAGAGGCAAGCCCATGGAAGACGGAGATTCTTATTTGAAAAGGCAATTCTCATCCCAACAGATTGAGAAGGACAGGAGCAGGGCAGATTAAAATGCGCTGAAGTGGTGACGCTGTTTATCCAGTTTGCCTTTGTTACTTTGTGATTAAATGGTATTTTTAATTAAGTTTCATTGGGAGCCATAGGTATCTCGGTGGTGAAATCAATTTGACAACCATAAAGGGGGAGGGAAGGCCCAAGAGTGTTGTAGTGATCGCGGCTGCAGGGAGAGCCCGGCAGCTTTGAGAGGCTGGGCCAGGGAAGGGGAGAGGCCAGAGAGGCGGCCAGGGATGATTTCCGGCATGATGGCCAGGGTGTCCATGGCTGCTGCTGCTGCTTTTGGGGAGCCGATTCCAGGGATTGTCAGGAAAAGGGATACACCTGGCTCTCTCGCTTACCCAAGCGACCCCAGTAGATTCCCAGTCTGCCGGGGAACTCCAGGAAAGGTCCAAAGGGTCTGTTTCTCGTTTCTCCCTTATTAACAAGGAGAAAGGGTGAGCGCCCCCAGACCCTGTGCTGCAGCTTGGAAGGACCAGGCCTCACCCCAGCCTGGCTCCCGAACAGGGCTGCCCCACCATCCTTCATCCCATCGGCCCCTGTTCTCACGGGACAGCACCCCTTCCTTTCTCCCAGTACCCTGTCAAGGCAACACAATCGATCGATTGATCTTCCAGGTATCAGGCCCAAATCCGCCTCCCACGATTGAAAACTAGTCCCCTCGGCACCCCTGCTCTGTCTTTCCTATCACCATTGATCAGGTTTTCAGAATCTTCTGATTCCTGGGTGGCAGGAGAGGCTTTTGGTTGCAGAGTCCTGGTTCTGTATGTGATCCTAAGGCCAGCCTCCCTTTCAAGCCTTTGTTTTCTTGTCTGCAAAATGGGGATAATAGTAGTGTGTCTACCACCTAAGGTCGTCGTGAAGGTTAAATAGTTGATGTGTGCATAAAATGTCTCCAGCTGTGCCTGGCTATACCGGTCTTCAGTGAAATACCGGCTCTAATGATTATTATCCCAGTTTCCTGTGATAACAGTTGTAGCTTCATTACCCGGGCAAATCACTTGACCTCTCTGTGATTCAGTCTTTGTTTCTGTAACGCCTAGCTCGTTGGACTGCTCTCTCACCGCGATGATTCACATTGTGTCTCCTACTTAGTGCCAGAACAATATGTTACCATCCCATTCTATCCCATTTGCTTCTCACAGCTTCCATTTTTCTCTCGGCAGATGGCGTGGACCTTTTTATAAATGAGATACTCTGAAAAATGATTCCTTCATACTCCCCATTACTACAACAGGATTAGGTCACCGTTTGCAATTTTAGATTTGCTTTAAAAATTCTTGCCGTCACCTTTTAATGGATGATCTGTGTTCAACAATTGTTTATTGACTCTGAATGTCTAAGTACCAGGGTCAGTCTATTTGCAGGGGAGGGAAGCATTAATTAACTCCCAGCATCCGATTCAGTGATTCTTTTCCAATGATGCAGTTTGTGACTTTGCTTGCATTTTCTTTTCATCAGTCCTGAAAGAATCGAGGTAAAGTAGTTCCCGCGCACATGTGTGTCAAGCTAAATGGATAACAGCAGATACAGATCTGTTTGCCTGTCTGCACTTGCCTTTAGACAAAATTCATCAATTTTACAAAAGCTACTGACTAAACATGGCACCAGTACAAATAAGCGCTTCTAGCATGAGGGTTTTCCCGTTGTTTTTAATCTGGTAAAGTGCTGAGGCTTCCTGCTGAGAGATGGGAAGTGCTGGCTTAGGACAGCACTGTGCCCCACAGATGGGGACCAAAATGTCAAGGCCATTCTACCGGAAGTTTAGGAAAAGCCCAGTGGTTCCGGACCCTGTGTGTTCAGAGTAATCCCAACCCACTAGGTTAGTGACTGCCACAGGAAGCTGCTCCCCACTCATATTAAAGATTAAACAGAGACCACAGATGAGCTAACCTTTAGTGATGCCACTTTCAAAGGTACCCTTGCTTGCCCTTCCCAGCGTCCGAGACAAGAGAGAGAGGGTCTGCAAGCTGCATGAAACTGACAGGAAATACAGGCGGGGACAACATTCGGAAGGACTTTGTAAACACCAAATCCCTAGGCAAATCCAAGGAAGGAGGGTTATTATGATTTATTTTGTGAGACCAGTTTCATTTGGGTGCGTAAGGGAAGAGTTTGCGTCCGTTTATCACTTCTGATCAGGCAAGGCCAGTCTGACACTTAGTGACCTATGGCTCCCTTTTGAGCCAGAGCGTGGCTGCTCTTGCACAAGAGTCTCAAAGAATATTGTTAAGGCCTCTTCTAAAGTTTTTTCAGACACCACGCACCCCGCGAAAACACCTTTCCTGAGTCAAGGAGTGTTCAGCCCTTGCTAAAGTAATCTTGGGGCCTCGGGACGCACGGATACAGGGAGCAGACTTTCATTGTTTCCTTGCAAATCTGCCTTCCCCAACTGAAAACGCTTTTTATCCTTTCAAACAGTGTATTCAGTTTTTCACTTTGGAGCAAGCGCAGTTAACCTACCAACCCCGGAGCCCTGAAAGGGCTGAGTCAATTTCTCAGGGCAACTCAAACTCCTGATCGTAACTCATCCAACACAGAAAACAGTACCTCTGGTCACCTTCCCGCCCCTGCCCCCAGCTCTTCAGACAGAGATTTCCAGTTGATTACGCCTTGATTAGAGTCAGGAAAGAAGCAAGCCAGGTATATAGGATTCCCATTGTCCTTCCCTCCTCAGCTCCCGACCAGGGTCAGGCTGAGAGGGCTCTCAGTGAACACTGAACAATCAAGCCCTGTTTACCATGGACGTTTAGTTTTCTTTTCTCGAAATCAAAACAGAGTTTAGTAGGCAGCGTATTTCATACATGCCTCTTGATCAATGGAATGATCTGTCAGAAGCCATTAAAGCCAGCATTAGCTTGAATGCATTCAAAGCTAAGCTATTGGATCATTTAAAGGCTGCGGTGATTGTTTTTAATATACTGTACATTGATTTCTCCCTGTGAGCGGCAACGTAAGTTTGAAACTAACTGTGTATGACTAAGGCTTCATTTACTGTCTCCAGTCCTCTGCAAAAAGCATGGTTTTACTTCGACCAGAAATGTCTGTGTATAGTTTTTAAAGAGATGCAGACCCCGGTAGATTTCCCAACGTTTAGACTGGGTTGGGTTGGGTTTTTTTCTTTTTTTCTCCCCAAGCTTTCTCCCATTTCTTTGTGCCCACTAAGTGAGCTGTGCGTGCAGAATGGGAGAGGCATCCCTGCCAAGGATCTCAAGTGAAAGGTGGTGTGGGAAATTTTCCTGAAAGCATGAAGCCCCAGTTGAAGCCAAAATCGAAGTGAATTTGACAGCCTTGGGCCAGCAAAAGTCTGTGTCCAGCACAAAGCAACAGAGGTGTGACTGTGTCAGGGCATCATGGCTGGGGCATAGTTTGTTGAGTGGAAGGTGGAAGAGCCCGCCTTTGGCTGCCATATTGCCATCTCTTGGTAGGTTGACCTTTCTGTGCCTTAGCCATAATGGATTCTTCTAACAAACACTCAGTGATTCCTTCCTAAACACCAGACTCTGTGCTAGGAGCACGAGGTTCTGTCCTCAGAGTCCCATTCTTAACCAGAATTTCTGGTCTCAGTCCCCTTGCTTATTTTAATACAGAGCCTGAGAATAAAAGAGTATTTTAGTCAAAGAAGCAATAGTTACCATATTTGCAAAGACATGTAGCCCAAAGAAAAGTTTTTGTACTTTGCGCCCATTTTACAGATGGGGCAATTAAAGCCCGGATGAGAGAAATTAAGTTATTTAAGAATTACAGAAATGGGTCTTGAAGTTTCTGGTATGTCTTGAGGTTTGGGAAGAATATGAACATTCTTAAACCCACCTCCCAAATAAACCTAAAGTATGTGGAAGAAGAAAGTGGTTCCACCTTCTTTACAAGTACAAGAATGGCCTGCCCTTCCAGTTGCAGCCCGGAAAGGAGAAATTTTGTGAGTCTAGAAAACAGTTTATGTGCCATTAATTTTTTTTCTCTTGGGCCACAAAGGTCCACAAAATTTTGGTGATATTAACTACCCAAAAAAGCCATTGGAATTTATGGTGTAGGATACTAAAATCAGAGGCCAAGTTTTATCATCCCAAACGCTGGCAGGTCAAGCAAAAGTCACAATAGTAAAATCTAGAGCAGGAGTCAGCAAATTATGGCCCACTGCCAAATCTGGCCCACCACCTGTTTTTATAAATAAAGTTTTACTGGAACACAGCTACACTTGTCTGTTTACATATTATCTATCCATGGCTGCTTTTGCACTCCCAGGGAAGAGCTGAGCATTTGTAGCAGAGACACAAAGGCTAAAATATTTACTACCTGGTCCTATACAGAGAAGATTTGCTGACCCTTAGCCTAGCTCAGAGGACTGCTCTGTCACCTATGATCCTTCATGTTAAGTGATTCACAACACATCTGGTACTAAGTAATTACTCAACACATACAAAAGATGATGATAAATCTTATTATAGTGTCCCAACCAAAACACTCATGCCAAGACCACTCTCTATACAGCAATGTGGAAAAAAGCATTCAAAGGCAACACCGTTAAGGGACAAAATAGGATAGGAGCAAAACCCATGGCTCTTCCTGAATTAAAGGACCCCGAGTGATGCAGGGAGGGGACCAGGGGAAGCCATCACGAGAGGATGGAGCGGCCTGCCTTTCAGGGTCAGGCAACTTCTCTCAAAAGAGGGCAGGTCTTCAGGGGAGCGAGCTGCATCCCGATCTTCCCTGAACGGACAGGTAGAGAATCTTTCTGAGCACTCCCGAGCATTCCTGCTCCTGTAAAAGTGCTAAGGTTATTCTAATGCCTCATTAGGAGAGGTGGTGATCTGGTCTACGATTTTTTTTTTTTTGAAGGTGGGTAGCGGGAAGCAGGGGGGTGGTCTTTGCTTTCTAAC